AGGCCCCTAAACTCCAGTCCCTTTCCCTAGGCTGTCTCCTCCATGCTCCCAGCCAGCAACTAACCAACACTCTTCCAGCCCTGCCCCCCAGCCAGGGCAGCATTCCACCTTCCTTTGTTCCTCTCCATGGGGGGTGTCTGGCCATACTGGTTTGCATAGTGACTCATCCTGTTTTGCTGGGTCGTGGTACCCACGGCAGTCAGTGGGGTTTACCCCAGAGCCAGCAGCATAGAAACCAGCCAGATACCCCCACTACGTCACAGGTGCCTTATACATTTTGGCTGTCTACACACTGGCATGAATTTCCGGAACTGCTTAAAACGGAATACTATTCTGTTTTCAGTTTTTCCGGAAAAGGAGCATCTACAGTGGCAGGGTGCTTTTCCTGAAAAGCGCGTCTACATTGGCCACAGACGCTTTTCCGGAAAAGAGCCCCGATTGCCATTTTCGCGATAGGGGCTTTTTTCTGGAAAAGACTACTGGGTTGTCTACACTGGCCCTTTTCCGGAACAGTGTTCCGGAATAAGGATTTATGCTCGAGCGGGAGCAGAATAGTTTTTCCGGAATAGCGGCTGATTTTGTACAGTAGAACATCGTTGCTTTTCTGGAAATTCAAGGGCCAGTGTAGACAGCTCGCAGCTTATTCCGGAAAAGTGGTTGATTTTCCAGAATAAGTGGCCCAGTGTAGACACAGCCATATAGCTTATTTGCCTTCCCTGTGTGAAGTGCTAATCCAGTACCTGCACATCTGTGTTGATGTGACTGATTTAGTTATGCTGATCTAGACATACTCTAGGGGTTATAGTGGACCACAAGCTAAATATGAATCAACAGTATGACATTGTTGCAAAAAAAGCAAACATGATTCTGGGAAGCATTAACAGAAGTGTTGTGAGCGAGAGAAGTCTTTCTTCCACTCTACTCTGCGCTGATTAGGCCTCAATTGGAGTATCATGTCCAGTTCTGGGCACCACATTTCAAGAAAAGTGGAGAAATTGGAGAAGGTCCAGAGAAGAGCAACAAGAATGATTAAAGGTCTAGAGAACATGACCTATGAAGGAAGGCTGAAAGTACTGGACTTTTTTAGTTTAGAAAAGAGAAGACTGAGAGGGGACATAATAGCCGTTTTCATGTATCTAAAAGGGTGTCGCAAGGAGGAGGGAGAAAAATTGTTCTCCCTGGCCTCTGAGGATAGAGCAAGAAGCAGTGGGCTTAAAGTGCAGCAAGGGAGGTTTAGGTTGGACATTAGGGAAAAACTTCCTAACTGTCAGGGTGGTTAAGCACTGGAATAAATTACCTAGGGGGGTTGTGGAATCGCCATCTGGAGATATTTAAGAGTTGATTAGACAGACATCTATCGGGGATGATCTAGATGGTGCTTGGTCCTGTCATGAGGGCCCAGGACTGGACTTGATGATCTCTCAAGGTCCCTTCCAGTTCTAGTGTTCTGTGACTCTGTTCCTCCTGGGGGATTGTACCGCTTTAACTATACTCATCTATTTAAGGGTTGTGCTTGTGGTTGCTTCCAATTTGAGAGCAAAAGCCAAATGGGCAAAGAAAGAAACTGAATTGGAATAAATTAATGGATTGCAGCAGGTATTGCTGAAGAGCAGTTCAAAGGGCTAAGCGATGGCCACATGGCATAGAAAGAACCGAATGGATCCTAATGAGTAAGGGTATATCTAGACTACAGAGTTTTGTGGGAAAAATGGCTGTTTTTCTGACCAAACCTGAGTTACGTTCACACTGCAAATGCGTTCTTTTGACAGTAAATCGAAAGAACAGAGGGGTTTTTGCGCAGTTGGTGTTCCTTATTCTATGAGAGAAGCCTTTTTGCAAAAGAGCTCTTTTGCAAAAAGGCACGTGTGGATGGGGAAGAGGGAGGTTTTTTCGGAAGAGGAAAGAGCAAAAAACAAAGGTGCCCTGATGTCCATTCTTACATGCGAGATAGCATCCAGGCAGTCTGGACGCTATCTTTTTGGAAAAGTGCATCGCTTTTTCGATGTGCTTTTGCAGTGTGGACGCTCCCTTGCGCAACAATTTTCTTTGGAAGATCCCTTCAGAAAAAAGCTTCTTGTGCAAAAAGCCTGTAGTCTAGACATAGCCTTACAGTTTAATCTCCTTTCTGCAACATTCCTTCACCTTCTTCCTTCGCTGTCTCTGCCAGAAACACAGTGGCTCCCCAGACCTGCCCCAGGTAAACCCAATAAGAGAGAGGTGCCTTGTGTGGCCCCAGGATGCTGTCACACTTGAGTCTTCTCAAGCCTACTCTTCTGTAGGAGCATCCCTGGGACAGGGCTACCTTGCTTAGATGCTCCACTTCTGGCACCTGGTGCCAAACTGCAGTGCACTTAGTATGGGTTGCTGCCAGATGTAGGTGGGTGCCGTTGAGTTTTAGACTAAGTGTTTCCATCCCTTTCACACCCTTCTTGCTCAGGGCTCTGTCCCTGGCACTCTTGGAGCTCTTCACAATGCTGCTGTTTTCCTCCTCCAGGGCTTTGGTCGAGCAGAACATTCTGTGACCACAAAGATACTGAAAGAAGAGTACCCAGACTACGAGGTCACCTGGGCTGATGAAGGCTACTGACCTGGCTCTGCTTCAACAGCAGCAGACATCCTGCCCTTTTGCTTAGGTCTGAACAGCCCAGGCTGTTGACTGGGCTTATGGGAGCAGAGCCTGCACTGGCCAGTGCTCTGGAACTGCCTGGGTTCTGCTGTTTTCCTTGTGTCTAGAGCTTCATGGAGGATGCAGGTTCATTCTGCTGGGAGGCTTCTGCAGGAGGGGAATTCAGTAACCTCCTTTCAGATCCATGAATTATAGGCTTGAGTTGCGACAGTGCTGAACCTGGCCAAGAGTTTCCAGAAAAGCCCGTGTTGGAAATCCTGGCCCCAGTGAAAATGGTTTGTGTGTGGCACGGGGACGGGGGGGGGAGCCAGAACTTCTCTGAATGTTTACAGTGAAAATTAAATCCATTGAAGAGATTTGTGCCTGCCTGTTCTGTGTGCATGACTGCCTCACTTTCCAGCCGAGCCAGCTGTTCCCATAGGGCCTCCTCTCTGAGATTGTGCCCAGCCATGCTCCATATTTGACTTGGATCAGATCCTTCATATTAAGACTGTGCATAGAGGCTGCTATTTCAGGACAAATCTGGGGATTTAAGCCTCAAAGCTGCAGATGCAGAGCATTCTGTTGCCTTTCCAAAATAAGAGGCAGCAGTTATAGCCCCAAATGGGGAAGGGAGCAGAGATGCAGGGACCTTTGTGTCCTAAACTCGAGCATAGAAGAACAGAGGGGAAATGCAGAGCTGTCCCATCCATAGGACAGTTTGGGGTGGCTGCCTCAACAGTCATATGGACAGGGGCCATGGTGGCCTGGGGGATTACCTGGGAGGCTGGTACAGAGTGATAGTGGGACATGTCCCACTACCCCTCTTTCCTCTCTTCCCCCCCACCCCCCACTGTGTGGTGGGAGCTGGAACAACCCAGCAGCCCACTGCACTCCACCATCCTCTTCCAGCCTGCAGCGCTCTACTTCACCGCAGCAGTGACAAGTGGAGCACCCAGCCTGCTTTGTCCTCCAAGCAATGCAGGGCTCAGGGGAGCAGACTGGGGTACTCTGAATGCTGCTGTTCTCCTGCCCCAGATAACACCCTAGGTTGTGTAGCTTAGGGTAGGAGACTTCAGGGAAGAGATGCAATGGGAGTGGGAGGGGACAGAGCTTGGCAACTCCCCATCCCTCCCGGGCCCTGTACCCCTTAGGGATTGCCCTGGGGAGATGGAGCTAGGCTTGCAAAGAGCATGTCTTAAGGGATCAGTTGAGAATAGTCTGAGTCACCACCAGAAGTTACAGAGTGGCAGGAGTTGCTAAGGCAGGTGGGGAGGGCTCATTTGCCCAAGGTAGTACCCTGGGTGATCTCTGGAAAGGATGTGGCCCAAGGAGTGAGCTAGATACAGAAGAAGAGCAAGTTGTGAACTGTCAGAGGTTTTGCAGGATCAAGACCTAGCAGAGGAGCCCCCATGCCTGCTACTAGGAGGAGAAAAGAATGCAGCAAGAAAAAATCCTTAGACTTCGAAGGCCAAACTGGAGCATTTTGATGATCTAGTCCAGTCCACAGAACATTGTCCAGAGAACCTCTCTGTGATCTCTGTATGATACCACAACTTCTGGTAGAGCTAGTGCAGAATTCTCATCTGTCCAGTTGTGGTGAGTCACTTGAAATCTTCTAAACACATCTCTAGGTAAGTTGTTTCAATGCTTAATTCCCCTCACTGCTTCTTTAAACCCAAAAAAGTTACATCCTGTTTCAGGTCTGAAATGTCTAACTTCAGCTTTCAGTCATTGGCTCTTGTTCACTAAAATCAGTGATGTGCCCTGACAGCCAGAGTGAGGTAGCCCTTGGATACAGCATAGTGGGGCTTAACAGCTAAAGTCAGTGTAGCAGCCTTTTGGTGGAAGAGAGCATGGTCTAGCAGCCAGCGCTAAGAGGGGTGTCTGGTGACCCACGGATGAGGACCCAGACCCCATCTCACTGCACTGGGCTCCAACCTAGGGCCTGGAGAGTGGCAGATCAGGCCACCACTGAAACACACTGAGATCATCTGGGTGGGAGATGCCACTTGCTCACCCTTCCTAGGTCATGTCCTACTGTACTCAGTGGTGTGGCAATCCATGGATCTCCAGGTTCCGCCGTACAGGTTATTCCCTGGTGTTCCACCAGCAGTGGAAGCTTATTTTAGTTCTTTGGGTGGGGAAGAGAGGAGTCTCCAGCATCCAACAACCGAATCTGTGGCTGGTTCTCAACTAAAGCCTCTACCACTGGTCCTTCGTCTCCAGCATCTACCCCAGATTGAACCAAGTTGCTTCCTTTTATACTGGCCTAGCACCGTTAGCATGCCCAGTAGGGTGTGGGCTGGAGGTGCTGGATCTGGACTGGAGGGAGTAGAGGATTTGGGTGCTTGCCAGGTGCAGCTCCCATGTGGCTCAGTGCCACCCTATTTTTGCAGGCACTGCGATGGAGTGGCATGGGCAGTTGGAATGGCAGGGGTGGAGCCTGCAAGTGAGTGCTTCCTTGTGCTGCTGTTCCCCGGGCAGCATGCAGAGCTGCATTCCTGACCCTGCCAGGCAGAGCTCACCCACTTACCTTGATCCAGCCTGTGAGGCTCAGGGCTCCCCCTCCCTGCAGCGGGGACCAAGTGTTGGCTCTCCCACCGCATGGGGTGAGGGTGCACCAAATTTCATGGGCTCTATCAGTGCAAGCTGTGGCCATAGGTTCCCCATCTCTGGGCTTAGAGGGTGCTTGGTCTTGCTGTGAGGGCAGGGGACTGGACTTAACCTCTTGAGGTTCCTTCCAGTTCTAGGGTTCTAATGAGCAGCAGCAGCAGGATCTCATGCTCTGCTGATTACAGGGCAGTGGGGCTGTCGGGGGATAGGTGCAGAGAAGGGATCAGGGTAGAATGACAACTGTATCCATCAGCTCTCTGCATTAGCCACTTTGTTTTCCTCTCAGCCTTTTTCCAGCACACGGGAAAGCACAATATGGAGCCTGGCTCCAAGTAGGAGATGTGGTCCAGCTCATTAATTTAGGAGGTGCCCACGCAGTCAGTGCTGAGCTACCAGGGACCCACTGCTAAGTCATGCCTGGCATACTAGCTGTGCTCTGACCACTAGGCTGTGTATGCACGCTGGCTGGCCTCACCACTGGGCTCCAGAGCCACTGTCATCATATATATATATAGTAGCCCAATGTCTGTGACTCTGAAATGCTGACTGTTCCCTCTGGGCGGCGCTGTTGCCTGAGTCATGTCCTTCCCCTCCTCCTGTGGTGCTCTGCTGACTTCTGCGCTGCTCAGCTGGGCCCCTGCGGGGGAGCAAGTGGCACAAGCACAAAGGTGCTGCATGGGGAGTTCGGGGCCCAAACGGCCGCTTGCACTGCTTGCTCCCCCACGGCAGCTTGGCTGAGCAGCGCAGGAGTCAGCCAAGGGGGGCAGGGCGGTGATGTATGCTGGCTGTGTATATCACCTTCACA